AAAACATATATTGAAAGTAGATTTTGTTTGTGTTTCATTAATATTTAATGTTGTTATTTTATTATTTTATTTTATTTTTTTATTTAAATAAACTTTAAAAAAAAAAAAAAAAAAAAAAAAAAACTTAAATTTAAATTTAAATTTAAATTTAAATTTAAATTTAAATTTTGTTTTATATTTATTCATATTATTAAAATGTTTAAAAAGAATACTAACATTTTTTTATCAGTAATATGCATTATTATTTTAAAGATTTGTTTGTCCAATGGGTTTGATTCAATTCCTGTCACTTATTTCGATTTAACTGATAATAATCCAAACTTTGAAATTAAAAACTATGAAAGAAGATTAATCAAGAATCTTGTAAATGACAATCTACTGTGTGACAAGAAACCAACATTAAATATGACAACGATTTTAAAGAGTGGTTTTAAAGGTATTAATGGTAATCAAAGTTTTAATGAGTGGTTTCATGAAACGGATGGAAACTTAATGATAAAGGATCAATTTTTATTATTTAACCAAAGTGGTAACTCCCTCATTTTCAAAAATAGAGATTTTCATCCAATCGACTCCATAGGTTTAAGACAATGGTACTCTGATTCAAAAGGAGATTTGAGAAATTTTCATTGTAAGTAATGTTATATAACATTATTTCAATAGTAACAAACTATATATATATAATTATATATTGATTTTATATTTTAATTAATTATAGTTTGTATGGAAATTCATGGCCTATTTTGGAAGAATCCATCAACAGAAAATATCAAAATAACTGCAGATGATGACTCATGGCTATTTATAGATAATAAATTGGTAATTGATATGGGTGGTATTCATGATCCAATAACTGAGGTATTTAATGTATCTAAATTAGAGAACTATCGTTTCTATTCATTTGACCTTTTTCATTGCGAAAGACATACTTTTAATTCAGTTTTAGAATTGGAAATTCCTCAACTATTGAAATACTACACAATGACACCATGTGGAGCAAAAGATGAAATCAAATCACCCGAATTTCTAAAAAATATATTCAGCCTTTATAAAAAAATACCAGAAGTTCAATATGAATCTCAAAAACTATTAAATGAAGTTTTGCATAGTTTAAAACATTTTTATCCCTCAAATCAAAATTCAATTAAATCTTTACAAATTGATTTAAATAGAATTTTAACTTATCAAGACTCAACTCCAAATAAACCTCCAACTAATATATCACCAGAATCTATAAGAATTAATTTGGATCTAAATATAAATAATATTTTAAATAAATCAACATATAGACAATCATTAAACCAAGTATCTCATCTTATAGAAAATTTACAAGAAAATAATAATAACAATAGTAATCACAACAACAATAATAATTATAATAATGGTGTTCAAATATGCTTTAAAGTTGATGATATCTCAAGGTTGTCTTCATCAAAAAGTGATAAGTCAAATGAACAAACCCCTTCCCCATCAAAATATGAAGAACCAAAAAAATGTTTTGTAAAAATTTTAAATATTTGTTTGTAAAAAAAGATAAATAAATTTTAAAATCTGATAAATTTTTTCCCATCAGCAAATTTTTTTTTTTTTTTTCGTGGTAATACCAACTTTAAACATATTTCCATTTTTTCAATTTTTTTTAATTTAATTTAATTAAAAAAGTAAACAAATATGAAAAAAAAAAAAAATTAAAAAATAAAAATAAAAAAAAAATATTTAAATCTTAGTTCCATTCAAAAACAATTACAACAACAACCATCATTACCCAATGCATCATCAGTTTCATCATCATCATCATTATCAAATTTAACTCAGCAAGATGATATTGAAATTGAAAAATATGAAAAAAAAATGAAAGCTAGTAATGACACATTGGTTATAATAGAAATTTTAAAACAGTTTAACCTTGGTTTTGATATGATCGATAATGATTGTGGTAGCGTCGAGTCATTATTTGTTGCAGATGAAATAGAAAGAAAAACCTTTTTATTGGCAAAGAAAATGTTATTTTTACAGAAGAGTGGAATTTAAGTTCAGGAAGTTTAACATCATTGGGTTCAAATAACCAATTGTCAACTAGTAATAGTAGTAATGGAAGTAATAATTCGAATACTAATAATGCCAATGGCGATTGATAAACTGGGTAATGGCGATTGATGGTGTTTCAAATTCAAACTTTAAATCAACAATGGATTTATTACAAAAAGAACAATTTTTAAATTTAAATAAGAAAAATCATAAGGGTGGTTCATTTAGATTTGGCGAAGAGGAATGGATCTACTGCGACAGTAAGCTAACAAATAATTGCTGGAGTGAACCTTTGGAATATCTATGGGATGGTTGCACTTTGGTTGCTTCATCAGAATCAAAGACTCATATGGGTAAAGGAAGATGGAATGGCGTCTGGTTAACATGGTATAGTGAAGAAAAAATAAAAGAGCCTTACCTTAAATACTTATATCAACCCTCATTAAAGCAATTTACTTTCGATAGCTTCCCCATTAGAAACCAATTCTCTTGGACATTATCAAGACACTTTTTAGTTTCTTCATCAAGCCTAGCCGGTGGAGAATGGATTATTGAAGGCGATTTTCCACCGGCACTTGTAATGTTGGTCCAAATGATGAAGTATTATAGAGCAGGAAAATAAATAAAAATAAAAAATAATTATATATAAACATTTGTATTTTTGCATAAAATAATTAAAAAAAAAAAAATTAATATTTTATTGTATAGTTATAGTAAAAAAAAGAGTTAAAATAAATATTAAAATATTTTTTATCCAGACGAGGAAAAAGGAATGAAAGGATTTCAAGTGCCAACAACAGAATCAAACCAACAACCGTTCGATTTAGCTGTAGTAGTATCATTTGGTCACTTTATACCAAAATCAGTATTATCACAATTTAAATATGGTGGATTAAATATGCATCCATCACTCTTACCTAGACATAGAGGCGCCGCTCCAATCTATCATACTATTCTCAAAGACGACAAAGGAGCTGGTATTTCAATTATCGAACTACATCCAAAAAGATTTGACTGTGGTAAAATTTTAAGTCAAGTTAAACTAAACAATTATGATAATTCAATACTCTATAATCAATTATTAAATCAACTTTCAAATTTAGGTACTGAAACATTAATGGAAACTCTTCAAGATTTCCCAAACAAATCCATGAACTCTATTGATCAACCAGAGCAAGGTAAAACACTAGCTTCAAAGGTAAATAAAGATATATCAAAAGTTAACTGGGAAAACTCAACTCAAAAAGAAATTTGGATTCATTATAGAGCTTTCAGCGACAACATTAGTTTACAAGGTATGATTTATAATAAGAAATATAAAACAAACAAAAGAATCAAGTTTAGAAAAATGTTACTTGGAATTTATGAAACTCACGATTTAGAAAATAAAACAATTTACCAATCATTAAAAACAGACTTGGAAAGCTATTATAATCGTTGTGGTGGTAATTCTCAAATTCCTTTTGGAACCTACTTTTTAGAACTGATAAATCAAAATAAAGTTGGGTTGGTTTTACTGAGGTATATGAAGAGGGCAAAAAGAATGATGTAAAAGCTCACGAATTTATATTTGGTAAAAATACAGTTTCAATTAATAATTATAAAGAAATAATACCCCAAAATCAAATGTTTTTCTAAAATAAATTAAAATAATAAAAAAAAAAAAAAAAAAAAAAAAAGTAAGCAAGAAAAAAATTATAAAATTAAAAATAATAATATTTAATAATAGAAGCTCAAAACTTAACCCAATAAATTTAAAAAAAATTGTTTTTTTTCTCAAGTAAATACATATTTGAAAAAAATCAGTTTTTAAGTGACTAATTTAACCCCATAAATAAATATTTTTTAAATCTTTCATGTAAAAAAAAAAATTGGGTGGGTTATTAATAAAACAAAACAAAAAAAGATAGTTTGTAAATTGGTAAAATTTTTTTTTTTTTTTTTTTTAATATTAAAAAAAAAAAGATATCATTAAATAAATTGTATAAATAATTGTTTTTAATTTTTTTTATTAAATAAAAGTTAGAAATCAAATATAAAATGGCCACAGTAAGTGATGTATGCAAAAAAATTGAAGAAGATGTTGTATGTATAATTAATAGTTTTATTAAATTTAATCCGATTAAAATTATATAGCTAACCAAATATTATTATTATTAAAAGAAAAGCATGATACAAAAATATGATAGAGATGGAGACAAAAGTTTAACTCTTGATGAAATTACTGCTACCTTACGTGAAACTAATGCAAAGAACCCAGAAAAAACCGCCAGAATGATCTTTATACGTTTAGATGCCAATAGAGGTAACAACATTATATATTTATTTATTTATAATTTAATAAATTAAAGGGGTGTTAATAAAATTTTAATTTTTGTAATTGCAGACAGAACTGTTACAATTAATGAAATTAGGGATAAAGCTACTCAATTTTATCAAAGAAATTTAGAAGATGCTATTAAACGTGAAGTAAGCCAATTTTTAAAATTCCATGACCAAAATGGGGATAAAAGAATCACACTTGATGAAATGGTTGAAGGCTTTATTAAAACTGCAAACTTGGATAAAAAAAGTAAATTTTCAAAATTATAATTTAATTAATTAATTTTAATAATTAAACTAATATTTTATTTATTAGCTGCTACAGAAACTGCCGAATTTCATTTTTATGAAATTGATACTGATGAAGATGGAGTTTTGACTGTTGGTGAACTTAAAAAGGTAAGAACTAAATTATTATATATACTTTGAGAATTTTAATTTTAATTTTAATTTTTTATAACTTTTAGTATTGCGGCTCCTTAGCAAATCCACAACAATAATTTATTGTTTTGTTAAGAACAAAACATTTTTAAGGTGATATTATTAATATTAATTAATAAAAAACAAAATTATATCTAAAGGTTCAATAAAATTTTTTTTTTTATATAAATAAATTGTTTTTTAATCCAATAAAAAAGTGAGGTCATTTATTGATTCTTCTATTAAACCTGTTTGAATATCTTCTTATTCTTCTTTAGTTTTATCTATATATTTTGTGGGGAGCTACATAATAAAGTATAAAACCTCCATTGAGGTCTAATCATATTCAATACAAAACATTATTACATATCCAGACGAGGAAAGTACCAATCAAACCATTCCGATAGCAGTATTATTTGGTCATCCAGAAAAATTCCACTGTGGTAAATTTTAAGTCAAGTTAAACTAAACACTTATTATAATTCAATACTATATAACAATTATTAAACCAACTATCAAATTTAGTAGTAAAACATTCATGGAAACAGACTTGGAGAGCTATTATAATCGTTGTGGTGGTAATTTTCAAATTCCTTTTGGAACCTACTTTTTAGAAACTGATAAATCAAAACCATACTGCAATATGTTATGGGTTAAATGTAAAGATAGTTGGGTTGGTTTTACTGAGGTATATGAAGAGGGCAAAAAGAATGATGTAAAAGCTCAGGAATTTATATTTGGTAAATATACAGTTTCAATTAATAATTATAACTATAAATAAACAATACACCAAAACCAAGTGGTTATTTAAAATTAAACTATAATTAATTATAATATTATTATATTTAATAAATATAGCTGTTCAAAACTTAACTTAAAAATAAAACTTTTTTTTTTTTTTTAAGTAAATAGCTACTTGTTTTTTAAAGGCCACTAATTTAAAGCTATAAATAAATATTATTTTATATCTCCCTTAAATTTTAAATGTAAAAAAAAAAAAATAGGGGTTAATAACAAAAAAAGATAAATTGCAATTCGGCAAAAAAAAAAATTTTTATTTTTTTTTTAATTTATTATTGTTTTTTTTAAAATTTTTTTATGTAAAACGATCATTTTTAATTTTTTTTTTTTTCATATATTTAATTACTTTGGAAAATGAGCTCTAAAAAAGCTACTATACTATTTACATCAACTGTTTTAGCTGTTGGTGGATTTATATACTACATCCATTTAGATCAAACCGATGCACGTAAGGTAAGTGAAAAAAAAAAAATACTTAAAAAAAATGACTAATTTTTTAAAATTTTTATTAAAACATTTAGAAAATGAGACAAGGTGTTATTAATGATATTCAAAGACAGAAATATAAAGAAACTTTAAAAAAAGTATCAAATAGTAACAGCATTAACTCCAATGACGACAGTAACAATAATAATAATAATAATAATAGTAATAATAGTAATAACAATTCAAATTAAATATAATTTAAAAAATAAATAAATATAAAAACTTGTATATAAATTAAGAAAATATGTGTATTTATTTATTTTAATGTATTTATTTATTTTCGACATTTTTTAAATATTCGAAAAAGAAATAAGATGATGGGATAAATGCTAAAACTATGACAAACTCACCAATGGTATAAATAACTGCACCAATGTTAAAGATATAGCCTATTAAAAAACCAATAGCAAAGAAAGCACTGATTGTTGAAACACCTGATAATAATTTTTCTCTTGGAAAAACTTCACCCATCATGCTGTAGATGATTAACATTGTACCCGAACTGAAAACTGAAAAAGAGATGCTAATAATGGTATTGATAATATTATATCCATAATGTACACCAATAAAGTAGGCTAAAAAGAGATTAACAATAGCCAAACCAACAAAAATGACACCTGGTAATAATAATATTTGGAATACTCTTTTTTTTCCATATCTATCAACCAAAAGACCAACTGGGATTACTGTGAGAGCACTAGCCAAATAAGAGAAGGTTATATATCTATAGCTACATAAACCAATATAAAAGATAATTGGGGCTGTAAGGAAAATGCTTTTTGAAACCGTTTCATTTTTAAAAACATTTGGGCCTGGAATGCATTCAACAACCTTCTTGTTATATACCGATTTGATCAATTCAAGGTGATCTGGTTTTGATAACAAAAGGATAAAAGCTAATGCTAAAATAAATAATGGAACAATAAGATTTACATTTGAAAAATTGTAGGTTGGAATAATTTGCATTGAGATTGAAAGTGAATATTTTACAAGGAAATACTATTTTTTAAATTAATAAATTATAAATTATAAACTAAATAATAAAATTATATTTTGAAATAAAAAACTACTTACTAAAGAGAATAATAAAGTTTTATATTTAGATTCCAAAGTTGTTAAGCTGAGTAAATAGAAAACACTAATCATAATTAATTGGGTTGCAGCTGCTGAAAGAGAAATACCAACACTAATTAAAGATCGATTATAAGAGTGTCTAAGTGTAATAGTGATAATGAATAAAACAATGATTCCAATTAACATTGAGAATTTTTGTTTAATTCTTGATATAAGTATTGGCGCTAAAAAACATGATAGCATACTAATAATAACTCCTAATACATTAAATTGAGTTTGCCAAGAGCTATAACTTATTAGCTAAATAAAAAAAAATAATAAAAAAAAATTAGATTTATTTAAAATTTAAATATTGTTATAAAATACCTACATTAGAAAAAGTTGAGGCAATAAAAGAAAAACAGCCCAAGAATACTGAGTAAAAAATTGGATCAGTAAATAATTTTTTTGATGGTGAATTAATATTAAGATTATTTTTATTAGGCAACAAAGGATCGCTAATGGTTGGTTGAATTATGACTGGTGATGGTGGCAGTATTGCAACTGGTACACCAATAGGTCCATTTTCAGAATTATTGTTATTTTTATTTATATATGACAAAGGTTCATCACTTTGCTGTGGTTGTGGTTGAAATTGTTGGGTGGGTATATATTGATTATAATACATTTTATTTATTTATTTATTTATTTTTTTATATTTTTATTTTTAATTTTTTATATTTATTTTTTATATTTATTTGTTGGTATTTTTATTGTTTATGTTGATTTGGTTTATTTATAATGCTCCTTTTTATATTTATATTTATTGTGAAAAAAAAAAAAATTGATGACAAAACATTTTTTTTTAATGTTTATTTGTGATGGTGACTCAAAAATTTAAAATTTTTTTTTTTAAAACTCAAATATTTATACACAAATAATTTATTAAAATTTTTTGTGTATTTTTTTTTAAATTATATGCGCAAAAAAAAAAAATTTTTTTTTTTTTAAATTTTCAAATTTACCAAAAATTTAAAAAAAAAAAAACTCCCAATACTAAAAAAAAAAAAATTGAATATCGAAAATTTAAAATTATTTTTTTAATTAAAATTAAAATCCATTTTTTTTATTAACCACAAAAAATTAAAAACTATTTTTATTTTCTAAAAAAAAAGTAAATTTTTTATTTTTTTATTATACCTGATGAAAAAGAAACAACCTTTTCTTTTCAAAATAAATTATCAAGATTGGAACGTGATTGAATATGTTTTATCAAGAGAATGTGCCACCTTTTCAAAGGGTAGATATTGTTTGATAAATAAATATATTTAAAAGTTTTTATAAATATAAATATCAAATTCTATTAGAATTTGTTTAATATATAATTTATTTCGGTTTTTTTTTGGGAAATTTATTCCGCATTTAAAAAAATAATTAAAATCGTTTTGTTATTATTTTTTTTATAATATCTAAAAATATATATATATAGAGATACAGATAATGAGTGATTTGTTGATTTGATTGATTTCTTGAGTATATTATTAAAATTGATTTTTTATATTTATTAATTACTATTACTTAAAATTGAATCTGTTTCTGTATTATCTTCTTCCATATCAGTGATATCTTCTTCCACAGAGTCATCATCGTCATCATTATCTTCTTCAGTATCGTCATCCAAGTTTCTAATTTTTTCGTCTTCATCATCGCTAATTATACTACAGCTTGAACCATTACCATTATCTTCTAAATTAACCAATCTACCATATACCTCAAAACAACATACACAAAGTTCGTGACCGTCACGTTGGTTTGGACCTGTTTGTAAAATCTTTAAGTAACGATATGAATGAATACTTTTAACCTCCCATCCGGCAATACTATAGCCTTCTTTGAGAGACATATCATTCTTGTGGTCACAAAGAATACTCCATTCAATTCCATCTAAACTGCCAAGTAATTGCCAGTTTTTAGGTGCTGCATAGATAGATCCTTGACTATCTCCTCCGTATCTCATTGAATAATAAGTTGGACAGAGGACATGTTTTGCACCCAAGTCGACGCAAAAGAATGAGTTTTCTTCTTTATCTGTGTACATATTTGTTGAGGTTCTACTGACGAATGGATGTGGATATCCAATACTCATTGATGATGAAGTTACTGTAACTATTTTTCTTGTAGCTGGGCTTTCATAGTCATCCATATCTTCCAGGGTTCCAAAGTAGTATAAAACACCGTTTGTATCCCCATTATATTGAAAAGTAAATTCCTTAACACCTTGACGAAGTTCGCATGATGATGGGTTCTTGGTAGGTACATGGGCAGCACAATATTTATAAGCATCGAATAATATTTCTCTATCTACTATACCGCTTGCTTCTATATGATTGGAGAGTTGATGTGGAAACATACTTGCAAAACGTATTGATTTAAGTGGACGTGATAGTTTTTTCTTTAAAAAGTCTTCTTTAACAATTTCTACTGGTGATATATCTTTTAGAATAAGGTATTGTTTTTCTGCCCAACGAACTAAAGAGTCGAATATTTCGACTTCTGGTACTCTGAGATTATCTTGTTCTAAAATTGATATAAGGTTTTCCTCGGTTAATAAATGCCAATTTGGAGAGGACAATAAAATATCCATACTGTGTTGAGAGATGTAGTCCAGGCAAAGAGTTTTAATTTTTTCTAAACCATATTGTTCGGCTGCGTGTAATACTCTACATATATCTAATTCACCGTCGATGCAAGTCTGTAATGAAAATTTACCACAGAAATCTTTGAGATCCTCTAATTGATAATAGTCTGCAGCTGCCAATACATCCAATACATTAGAAGCATTCATTTCAACTTTACCACTATATAAAAATTTTAATACAATATAAAATATGTTCTTTGGGAAATGTGAGGTGATTATATATGAATTTGATTCCATCATTTGACATGATAACATCTTCATAAAAACAGGTGATCTTGCGGATAATACAAATTTATGGGTGTAAAAATAATCTAAGTCATTATTACTATTATTTTCATTTTTGTTTTTTAAATTATTACTATTGTTTTTATCGATACAGTTATTATTTTGTTTTGTTATTTCTATTATTTCAGTTATTGTTGGTTTTCTATCACCCATAAGTTTAATAGGGGTTGGCTTATAAAAATTAAAATCTTGATCTAAAAAACCATTTTCCGAAACTTGTATAATAATATCTGATAGTTCCGGGTTATTAAAATAATATGAAAAATCTGAACTATATTTTTGAATTAATTTATTTTTACCTTGAGAAACCATTCTACTAAAATTATATGATAGTTCTATATTCATTTTTGTAAATAAAAAAAATATTAGTAAACATAAACAAAATATAATTAAATAAATAAAAAAAAAAAATAAAAAAAAAAAAATACAATGAATTTATTTAAATTATATGACAATATTAATAAATTAATTTTAATTGAAATTATTATACACAAGATTTGGGCTACATTATTGTAAAGGTTTTATAAAATAATATGATGTTTTTATAAAGAAAAAAAACCTTACTTTATTTGTCATACAGTATATTATATAAAATAATAATGTGTATGAACTATATTGTTAAAACAATTTTTTATGTACAACTAGATATTATTATTGGTTAGTTTATATCTCTATTGAATAATTTTAATGTTTAATATATAAAAAAAAATTTATTTATAGTAATAATATAGTATTATTAATAATACAACAACAAGAATATAAAAACAAAACAATAATAATGAAAGTTTGTGGTGGTAATAGAGAACTAATGTATTAATTAATTATAATAAAAAGATATTTTAAATTATAAAAAATAAAATAATAAAAAAAAAATAAAAAAATAAAAAAATAAATAATATATTATTATTTATTTATTTATTATTTATTTATACACATTTAATGTATTATATTTTAATGTATAAATATTATTATATATAAATGATTTTAATTATTTTTATTATTTTAAGAGGGTATGAGTAGCTACTACTACCTATATTACCATTATTACTATTATGTGTTTATTTTATTTCTTTATATAGTTAATTATTTTTAAATTACTACTATTATTATTAAAAATATTTATTTATAACACTAATTTTATTCTTTATTTTTTATTCTTTTATTTAAAATTTATAAAAAAAATAAAATAAAAAAAATAAAAAAAATAAAAACATAAAAAATTGGTACACTAATTA